ATGGACCTTATTTTGATGGATTTTGATTTTTATGTGGCTTGGCTTTGCATGACATAGTATATTTTGTGTGAATTCTTGCTCTGTTCAAAGCTCTGGCAATTTCACATTATCTGAAAAGAACACATTTTTTACATACACCAATTTAAAATATAATTTTAAAAACTGTGCTGATACTGGCTTTTTAATACATATCTAAGCCTTACACCCATTTTAGTGTGGTTTATCTGTTAGGTATTGAGTTCCTTTGTATGAGGCGGGATATTTTAATGATAACACATTGTGCATTTGTTTGATACTTTCAAAAATCTGAGTGGCGCTCTGATGAATTCTCAAGCAATGCAACTCTTCATGTTTTATGTGGATGGACTGCAGGATAAATCAAGGCTTTTACACTTCAGATGTATAAGGACTCAAAGCACTACATTGCACTCTTAAAAAATGAAATATTCTATGTACTCCATACAATGTGTAAATAAACATTTTACTTGAGAGAGCTGAAATTGAACTGGCAAGGATAGGGCATGGAAAAGCTGAATAAATGGCAAGGCTGTTGCTGCTCTTACTCCTTCTTATTGGTGATTTATGCTTTCACCATTCTTACCAGCCTAAACTCCACGTTGCCAACTCAAAGAAGTAATAAAACATCGCAAGTGTTTTTCTCAGAGCAGAGGTTTATAGCCTGGCTAGGGTTTGGTGTTCGTTTGGTTTTTTTCTTTTGCACATAGTTCTTTGAATGCTCCCATATTGTAAAGATAAAATTTGGAGAAAACTTGGATTCCAGTGACAGTTTGATGCAGTGGTGACTGTTGACATTTTGGTGGAAATCAGAGAGGAAATGCATTTTTTGCTTGGTTTGTTTTGTTTTAGTCTAGGTATGGTGTGACGACAAAGCTGGTGAAGGGTCTAGAGCACAAGTCTTATGAGGAGGGGCTGAGGGAACTGATATTGTTTAGCCTGGAGAAAAGGAGGCTGAGGGGAGACCTTACCGCTCCCTACAGCTACCTGAAAGGAGGTTGTAGCCAGGTGGGGGTCTGTCTCCTCTCCCAAGTAACAAGTGATAGGACAAGAGGAAATGGCCTCAAGTTGTGCCAGGGGAGTTTAGATTGGATATTAGGAAAAATTTCTTCACTGAAAGGGTTGTCAAGCACTGGAACAGGCTGCCCAGGGAAGTAGTTGAGTCACCATCCTGGAGGTATTTAAAAGACCTGTAGATGTGGCACTTAGGGACATGGTTTAGTGGTGGACTTGGTAGTGCTAGGTTAACAGTTGAACTTGGTGATCTTAAAGGTCTTTTCCAACCTGAACAATTCTATGATTCGCCTCTTCATTCACATAGCTCTTTAATTGCTTGTTGCTTCATGGGACCATCATGGTGCTGAGAACTGTGTCCTTCCTTCAGAGGTAACAATCAGTTGCTGAAATTAAAAGCAGCTTGAGGATAAAGCACATATATAGTTGCCAACACACTTGAACAAACTGACTGTTTTTAATGACATTGGAAAACCAGCGTAGCATGGTGATGCAAATGTTCACTATGTTGCCATCAGTATGCTTTTGGTCCTACCCTATTGGGAATTACTCACGTGCTTAACAGCTGTCACCCCAAAGACATTTCCTTTAAGTCAACATGAAATTATACACAAAATTAAATTAATTTATGGATTTTTGTGGCTTCATAGCTGAGAAGTAGAAGAAGCTACCAAATATAAAAATAACTGTGTAGTGTTGCACTCCTGTCCTAGGGAGAGGGCCGCTATACCACTGCATCTACCTACTATCTAGTGCAAAATATATAGGCATTTAACAAACTAAATGTATAGGAGCAAAAATCCCTCCAAAACCCAGTACTTTTTGTCTTACTTTCTCTTGAAGGGCCACACAGAGACCAAGTTCCAGATCTGCATTTTACCAACTGTATTGCTGCATAAGAAACACACATCCTGCAGTGGTTTTAGATACTCTTTAAAAAAAACTTTCCCTGTGACTATCATGTGAAAAGTTAAATTACCTGTCTTGTCTGCCTAGTATCTTTGATTATTTTTCAATACAGTAAAAACCCCAAACTTCTTGTTCCAAGATCCAGAAAGCTGTCTTAAGTTGCAGAGCTATTTAAACATCTCTTACTGCCTCAAGGTAAAACTTGTGTTCTTTCAGATTACTCCAGCATATGGGTAAATCAAAGTTTGAGGTCTTCTTTTGGCACAGAAAAAGAACATATGCTATTCTTATAAACTTCACATTCTTACTGGTTGTGGCTTTTATTTCCTACTATGTATATTTTTACATATTTTTCTCCTAAAAGAAAAGTGGACAAAATGTTTAAAAGTTAGCCTTTGGGGTGTTATGCTAATTGATTAGAGGCTTTTGACACCTCCAATTATGATGTTAAAACTTCAGTATTTATAACAGGCAGTCCATGCTCTGACTCCTTTCTTGGTCAATATTTTTATCTCCCTGGCAGATATCCCTGTGCTCATTTTCCTGAATTTTTGGGTCAAAAAAAAAAAAAAAAAAAGTAAATCCCTAATTAGCAACAGAAATATAATGAACTACTATTTCTGTTGCTTTCCTGTAACATCTTTATAGCATAGTATGTATACTAGTATGAGTAATTATTACAAGTATTTCCCTATTATAGATCCTAGAATATAGAGGAGTGTCTAAAAGGAAGAAATTAAGAGTTAAGGTTTAACGTTACTAGATTTAAAGTTTTCTGGGAGTAACTTAGGGCTGAAATTTTCCCTGAACATTTCATGGCTTCTCTATTAGAATTAGTGGAAGGGTTTTTTGTTACATTATTAAAATCTCAAAAATAGTACAGAAATAAAATTATGCATTGATTATTTTTAATAGTTATAATACTACAGGCTGATTCTAATGAAAATAATTCTAAGACTGCTAAATTAGCAATACAGAAAAAAATTACAGTGCGAAGTAGTGTATGGGGATACATAGTGTAAAGGTGATGGTGTAACAATGATGGAACTCAGTGGTTTAGTGGTTTTAAGTTCTAATTAAAACAGACAAATTGAATGACCATTACAGGCATCTTGTATGTTTAATAATTTCTGGCAGCAAAAGCTGCCTTTTGTGACATTTAGGATTTAATAGTCTTTTTTAATGTGAATTCTTTTAAGTTACATTAATACGTTGCTTTCTGAAATCAATCCTTTATTCTTGTCATATGTAAAAGTCTAATTCTGACTCAGTTTTATCTACTTGGTTAGGTTAACAAGCTTGTCATGTCTGCTTTTTTGCCATTCTCTGTTTATTTCACTGTAGCACTGAACAAAAGCCCTAATTTTTATTCGTGTTTTGATCTGTCCTTATCCTGAAGCAGAGAAAATAGACATATTTAAATTTTAAAGATTGATACATTTACTAATAAGATTTCTGGCAATATATTGTAAAACATTCTGTTCCTGTACCTCCTAATCAAAGTGAAATCTCTCTGGATAATGCTACTAGGATGCAGTGCAAGAGTCTAAAAACTTCTGTGTCATGGGAGATTTGCCTAGTGGAAAATGAGATGTTCATTTTCATGAAAACCAGCCTTTTCCTTAAGCAAGTGTTTCAACTGGGAATTCGTGACCAGACATAGACAGGGATACTGTGGTGCTCAGCTGTGGCGGAAGCTGGGTACTTCGGTATGTTGGTAATGGTTGACATTCTCCTGTCCTGTTCAGACTGGGAAGCACTCTGTTTCCTGGCTGTGGCTGAGGACATGCTTGGACTGCAAGTGGGTGTAAAAGCAGTGTGAGGGGACACACTGTGGATTGTTGAATTGCCCCAGATGATGTGCCTAGCTTAGGACTTTCAGCCTGTCTTCATCTTCAAGTATTGTGAACATACGGTCTTTGTTACTGTGCAAGTTTAGGTTGATTTTCACCAGAACCAATGTTTTCACATCGTCATTTCTCAGTCATCTGAGAGACTTTATTTGCTATGGAAACAAATATATGCTGGGCATGAGATGCTGACTCTGGGCCAGTTGGACTATGTAGTTACTCCTGGGTGTGTGTTAGGGCAGTAAGAGATAGTTGGCTCATATATTTGGTACTTTTTCCTGTGGTGTTCAGAGCTGTGCGTGGCTCCTGCCATGTCAGGGAGGGAGGAAGAGCGAAGGCAAGCAGGGAATGGCCCGTCACCCAGTGGGGTTTGTGTGCTGTCCTGTTACCAGCCCCACACCCTCAGTATGTGCATGGTGGCCTCTGGCCATGCACAGGGGCAATGTTGGCATTAAGTAAAAATATGCTTTATGTGACACATACTTGTTACTTAATCCTGTTTTTCAGCTGTCATTGGCAAAATTTTGTTGGTCGCAAGGCTTACTGTTTGCTTACACGAGACTGAGGCATGTTTAAACACTTCTCATTTTGAGATATTTTTAAAACTTCTGTAAAATACAAAATCCTCACTGGATATTTTTGAAAATATGTTTGCTGAAACATTTGTTTTACACATGTCAATAATCGCATTGTTCAATACTGAGTTTTTAAATCATTTTAATTTCCAATACATCTATTTTTACAGCAGCCCACTTTTATGCTGGGTGTTATAGTTGTTGTTATAATCAGGAAATTCTTATACACATGAGTAAATTTATGGAAATTAGTAATCCTGTTTTATTCAGTGAGGAGTATTCTTGTAGACAGATATTGCCCAAAACTGGCAGCTCCTCAAATTACTATATGAATGCAGGACTATCCTCAATATAATATTTTAAAAATTGTAAGCTTTAATTGGCATAGAAAATTTGTCTTCCAATATTCAAGAGTATCTTTTACATTTTCTAAAGTATGTTCTCCCATTCCTCACTGCGCGTTCTGTGTTTTGAGAATGTGGTATTCTAAATAAGTCTTTAATTAAAATGCCATGTTTAGATGCTTCATATATGTATGATATGAAATGTATGTAGTTCTTTAACAACTACTTCATTAGATGTTGCTTTATTTATAGAAGTAATCGTTAGTATTCTGTAATAACGGTACTTTTTTTAGCAGGTCAGATTGTTTCCCCACAGTCTGCTCCAGCCTGCATTGAAAACAAAAATGATGTGAGCAGAGAAAACAGCACCGTTGACTTTAGCAAGGTAAGTGTTCATTGATGGTGAAGAGAGCTTCCTGACTACCAAATAGATCATTTAGATTAAATGAATCCGTGTGAATCAGGAAAAACTGTGAAGTGCAAATTTGACTTCAGCATTAAAGTTTTGTGTGCACTGCAACACAGTTTGTATATAACAAACAAGAATTTTTCATTTCCTTGGTAAATTATTGGCAACAGGAAATCACAGTTTAGGAACATAGATAAATTTATTGCATGACGATATCACAGGTGTATATTTGTAGCGGGATTTTTTACAAATTAACAGAAAATTATCTAAGCAGGAAAGTAATTCAGAATTCTTGTAATTCAATTTACCTCTCATATTTTTACTTTTTGTAGAAGTAATGCATGAATGCAAACTATGCTTTTTATAACCTGAACTCGTGGATTCCAGATGTCTCAAACAGAATGTGTTTCTGTAAACCTATAACTTAATTCTTCTGGCAAGCCAAGATATTTCAGTACACTTCACAAAAGATGTTAACTGTTCAGTATTGGAGATTGCAATGACAGTTCAATGTTAGATAGCAAAGAAAAGCAAACAGTTTCTCAGCTTTAATGTAAAGGAGAATCCTAATTTGTTTAAAAAGTCTGTATGTACCTAAAACAAACTGTCACATTAGATACAGATGACAGACCTGACAGGGATAGATGACTTCAGCTGACACATTAATACAACAAAGGTTGAGTAAGTGAAGAAAGGTGATTTAAACCAAAATTCTGAAGAACAGCACTTTGAGTCTGTTGAATCTTCATGTTAGTGCAACTGAGCTAAAAGTAGAGTTATGTGATTGCTCCATCTGGTGCCAGACTTATTTCCTAGCAGCAGTAGCTATTTGCACCATTTGAATTCTTGACTGAACATGCCAGCCTAGGAACGGTGTATGGCTGGAATAAAGATGGGAAACAGATCTTTTTGTCAAAGACAGTGAGAAGAAGGGAGGCTGGCTGGGGATGTATTACCGACCACATTTCTACAGAGGCAGCAAGGAGATCTGTAAACAATGACAAGTTGTTAAAAATTGAATGCTAATACTTTAAAATATTTAAAATAAGGATTATAATGCTTTAAAAAGTCAAGTATGATTTTGGTTTCCTGCTATTTAGATTAAAAGTGTTAACTAAAACTAATTGTTTTGACAAGTGTTCTAATATCAAGATGTAAAATTTTGTAAAGGCTATCAAATATAAATAAAGCTGTCTATTCAAAATTAAGTAGTGCACAAAGCATAGCAACCCAAAGGAATGACATGACTTTTAGTAGTGCTTTTCTTGCACATTTCCCCAGTTGCTTTGAGTGTTGCAGGATCAAAATCCCAGTCTGTTATCTAGCTGCATGATGTTTGTGTTAAACAAGAATGGAGGCTGCATCATTTGATCCTTCACTCACTGTTTTTGTAGCTTTGCTGATCAAAAGAGCTCTTCCTATTTAAACTGGCCTGAGAAGAGGCTAGCCTCAGCAGTGTTAGATACCAGCAAGGATGTCAGGAATATGAAAGAAACAACTTTTGTTTGCAGGAATGAAATAATGGTGAAGGATTGTAATTTAAATACCTTTTTTGATTGCCTTTAAGTAGATCCATTTATACTTTTGAAGATAGAGAAGTAAAGTACAATTTCCCCTTGAAACGTGCTATTGCAATAACTCCCAACGGTTATAATTGGAATTACATGCGCAGATTGAGAGGAAAGTAGAGCAGTACACTAATTTTCTCTTGAGTATTGTGATTTCTTGCTCTAATTTTGTCCCACATATTAATTTCATTTATCTTCTTCAAAAAAGCACCTTTGACTACCTCACATATTCTTTCCTTGCTAATGTATCTCCCTTCAGCTACTTCTAATATTCCAAATTTTGGAGCTGATGGAAAAAGCTGACTTAATCTGAATACAGCACTGAGGCTGTGTTGATTGTATCGGTATCTATTTATGAATAATGGGAGACACAATCACTAAAAGCATTCTTGACTGTTACTTCAGTAGCACAGAGAGGGAGACGTAGTTTCTGATGTTTGTACTTGTAAATGTGTCACTCCTCATGGTGTCCCCAGAGGAAGAGGACTTTGTATTCCTGGGGCGATACGAAGGTGATCTGTCACAGCACCACTTTATCCTGTGTCTGAGCAGGATGGGAATGGTAGTTTAACAGCTGCAACTGGCTGGTCTCTGCTTCCTATGCAGAGGACCCTAGTTGTCCTGAAATACGAAATGCATAAAGAGACTGCACCCACGTCGTTTGTCAGGGCAACGTTCCTATGCTCCACATGGAAACAGTATTTCTGAATCAAACCCCAGTCCTGTGCTGACAGAGTTTGGTCTTTCAAGTGCCATGTGAAATAATTGACTTGGTTTTGAATACTGGTTGGCCCTGCTTATAAATACACTTGATTAATATGTGTCAGGGCTTTTCTAAGAAGTGGTGTTGTGTATTTTCTGTTTGTCTTCATGTCAATTTATGTTTGATTCTAGTGGAGGCCCCCACCACCATTTTCAGTCCTTGAATTGCCCTGGAGGGGGATAGCCTCCACGTTAATTATTTAGTTTTATGTTTAATTGGAGCTTGCTGGGACTATTTAGTGCCAGGTCATGAATGTGGCACAGGTTGGGTGCAGATTAAGATGCAGATGACGTCTATCCAGCTCAAGACCTCTTAGGATAAGAGATATATGATGGGTAGGTTAGACGAAGCATTCAAAGGATGTAGCTTCTGCCATTGCCCCAAACTCACTCCAGGGCCATCTCTGCTCTCATTATGTAGTGGAAGCAACACCTGGGGTTCGGGTGTATTTGCCCAGTTGGATGCTTCTCTGCCAGTTACTTTCCTTTCAACTGGGACTCTGTTCACTAGCTAAATGGTTTTGGAATCTCAAGCTGATAAATAGTACAGGAAACACTGTACTGTATCTGGAAATACTTCTGGTAGACAGGAGACTGAATGTTTATTTCAGATTTGAATCTTGATCCTGTGATCTGTTATGTTAGTGGGACCTTAAGGTGACAACTGTAGCATGTTGTACATGAGGCATCAATTATTAAATGTTAAATCCTTTCACAAGGTAAAATCGGTACGGAATGCACATTGCTATGTACCGGAATGACTACTTCCTTTCTCTCAACTGTAAATGACCTATGACACCAAAATGAGGTGCAAAGTGAATCTATTTGGGTTTTGTATTTAACCCTGAAGAGTTATTTTGTTATTTGAGTGGGGAACAGAATTTACCTTACTGATATTTTACCTTGAAAAAGTACTTGGACTCCAGCCTTCAAGGTTGATCTGATGCTTGTTTACCTTTGTGAGGTGTTTGGTTGTCGTTCTAGAGTAGCTTAGGGTAGCATTAGATATCTCTTTGTGATCTCAGGGAAATAAGATTTCATTACACAGGCAACTGTGTTATATCTGATTTCTGATTTAGTGCCAGAGCCATTTGCAAGAAAACAATTTTCTAAATATTACCAAAAACTATGCAAACTAGTACTGACAGATGGCTGTAAGATAGACATTAAAATGGTCCACTTTAACAGTTTATATTGGATTTGGTTGCTGTTGTTGTGTTTAGATTAATAAAAGGAAAGCAAATGACAAAATTCATGCATCTTGAAATGTAGACAATACTGGTGCATAATGAAATCAAACATACATTATATACTCTATTACTCCATGTTGATCTTTGTTACAGAGTAAATTCTAGACTGATAACTGAGGAAATAAATACAAATGAACACATTCCTAGGCAAATACCTTGAGCTTATATGCCAGTGTCCTGATGAAGCTGTTTCTTTGTCTTTTCCTACCTTTCCTGTAAAAGTCAGCATCACTTCCTTAAAACCCCAGAGTTTTTATTCTGCTTTGCTCTTTCAGTTTACTCTTGAGGCAATCATGGTCATAGCTTATTTTCTGTCATTTTCAGCAGAAGGGCGACTGTCTTCCATTAAATCTGAAAACAAAAATACATCTCAGAGTAGTAGAAGGAAAATTATGTGTAGTGGAACCTGTTGTTCTTCTCATTGAGATTATAATACAGCAACTATGAACGATGAATTCATGATCGTTGTGGGTGGTGTGAGAAGCAGAAAAGGCCTTGACTGTGTAAGCACTGCTTAGTGATAACTAAAACATCTCTGTATTATCAACACTGTTTTCAGCACAAATCTAAAACATAGCCCCATACCTAGCTGCTATGAAGAAAATTAACTCTATCCCAGCCAAACCCAGCACATTCTCCACCTCTTATTCCATACCATTTACATCATGCTCAGGGACCATGCTATCCAATACAACCTCATTAACCACCATTCTCCTTCCCATTCTTTGATACAATACACAGATATCATTCCCTTAGTCTGTGGACCATCCCTGTAAAAGTCTGTAAAATGTCTGTAAATGTACACAAAATGTCCACTGGGTTCATTTAGTCCATGACTTTGGGCTCCATGTGTTACGGTGGTCACTCAGGACAAGAGTGTGTTGCATGGAGTTACTGGACACCATAGCCAGGTCACTGCTGCACTTGCACTACTTCTTGTAAGGCATGCCCTCCGTTGGTTCCTGCTATAGTAATTTCCATAACGTGCAATTCAAATCATGGGTTACAACAATTTAAGGGAATATCCATTACAATCTGCACCTTGGTCCCTTTGGATGAGACCATCAGGTTTAACATTACAATGAACTGCTCCCCTTGCCCTGCTCCACAGACTGCAGTCTGTTAGGGGTGTACCTACTCCAAGTGGAGCCTTATCTATGAGCCACAGTCTCTCCAGGGTATACCTGCTGCAGCATAGACTTGTCCATAGCCACAGCTGCACCTCTTCCAGCATGGCTTTCTCTGTGGGCCATGATGCCTTCAGAGATACACCAGTTCCAGTGTGGCCTTACCCACAGTCACAGTCCCTTCACGGTCATGCCGTCATGCCCAGCCATTGATGCTTCAGGGTGTACCTGCTGCAGCATGGACTTATCCAGAGCCACTGATGCTTCAAGGTGTACCTTCTCCAGTGTGGACTTATCCTTGGGCCACAATCCCTTCAGAGGTGTAGCTGCTGTGGCACAGACATAACCATGGCCACAGACGCTTTGGAGTGTCCTGCTCCCGCATGGGCTCATCCGCAGCTCGCAGTCCCTTGGACTTGAGTTCCCACTGGAGTTCCAGTTGGTCCAGTACAGCAGCGTAGAAACAGCAGTGATGCCCTGGCCATCTGCCAGCCCAGGGGCATTGTCGTTGCTGTTATCAGAATGCTCCCAGGCACAGCACAGTAAGATGATGTGCAGTACAGCACTACAGCAAACAGTGGAAGCAAAAAGTAGCCACTTAACAAACACTAGACTCTACTATACAGTAGGGCAAGCAAGCCCCATGGCAAGCACAGGAGCCTGCCAATTAATAGCTAAACAGCAGTAACAGCTATAAATTTGATCTAGCACATTCAAATCAAATCTGTCATTATTTCGAACCCTATGTTGGATGCCAAAAAAGACTGTTGTGGTTTAGCCCCAGCCACTAGCTAAGCACCATGCAGTCGCTCTCTCACTCCCCACCCTGGCGGGATGGGGGAGAGC